CACCGACAGTTCATCCAGGGGGTTTGACTGAAAACTTTGATTCCAACCCAACCAAGAATTGTAAGATTCATAAACCCCATACCTCTGTGCATGTGACAGTGGTCACCGGTTCACTTGGCCATCGAGGTGCATCGGGTACCCCGGACATTCGACTCCGTCCAAAGAGTGTATGATCCGCCGAAATGGACAACGGTCACGAATGAACCGTGGTTTGCACACATTACCCCGATGTCTCGCGGGTCAGACTTTGGTTAACCGAAAGCTCCGGTTGTGACTTCACGGTGGAATTCATTTAACAGACAGCCCCTAAAATCTTCGCTCGCATCAAACCCCGTAGATTTCCTGCCACATTCGAACGGTCTCCGAAAGCCTCAATATGGTCGGGAGTGGGCGTCTTGGTTTGTGACTGGCGACCCCTCCCTTGCACGTCACGAAATGTTCCCATACGACCAAGCGTCTCAAGCATCTTCTGCGGAGGAAGCCCTTATCACTGCCTTCGAGTGGCGGAGGTGTTCACCCACCAAAGTGAGAACGAAAAACCAATATCTGGGGCTATAAACGGGCCGGTGAACCAATTGCAGTTCACTTGACGGAATTGGCCAAAAACAAAACCAACCAAGGGGAGGCGAGCGAACTATAGTTACCCATACCTTCGTGGCGGTAGTGGTCACCGGCTCGATTGGGCACCGAGGTTTAATGGGTACCTTGGACGTTTGACCCCGTCCTAAGGGCGAATGATCTAATTAACTGGACACCGGCCCCCTGTGGATTGCGGTTTTCACACACCGCACCGCTGCCTTGCGAGTCACGCTTTGGCCAAACGAAGGTTCCGGTTGTTAATTCCTCAAGAAAACTTACCTTCCTTGGCCTGGGCAACCTGGAAGTACCCCGCCCACAAACAAATTGTGGAATTTTTCATTATTATATTTTTGTACTACGATTTGTTAGAATGGATTCAGACGGGTGAAAATGCAAATAAAAATACGCACTTTAAGGGTCATGTGTGAGCATCAGGCTAGTTTTCGATCTGGTCGAAGTTGATGAAGATCACGTTTT